CGGCGCCCTTCCCGTCGCCCGTCGCGGCGGCTCTGGGGGCCGCGCTCTTCCCCCCCGTCCTCCTACCTTCACCTGCAGTGACCGCCCCTGCAGCAGCCGCCCCTGGAGCAGCCCGCACCTGCAGCAGCCGCCCCTGGAGCAGCCCGCACCTGCAGCAGCCGCCCCTGGAGCAGCCCGTGCCTGCAGCAGCCGCCCCTGGAGCAGCCCGCACCTGCAGCAGCCGCCCCTGGAGCATCCCGTGCCTGCAGCAGCCGCCCCTGGAGCAGCCCGCACCTGCAGCAGCCCGCGGCCCGTCCCTGCAGCCCGTCCCCCCCCCCCCCCCCCCCCGTGCTGCCCATTGCTCCCATTCCGCCGTACGTTCCGCGGTGGTGGGGGTGTGGGGTGGCGGGCATGGGGGTGACCGGTGTGGGTAACCTGAAACTCCTCCTCCTCCTCCGTCTCCCACTGCTGCAGCTGCCGCTGAGGGGGGTGGGTGTGTGGGAGCCGAGGGTTTAGGGTTTAAGGGGGGTGCCGTGGGAGTGGAGCTAGGGTTTCAGCAGGGGGTGTGTGTAGGGGGGTGTGGGACAGTTGGAGGAGGTTGGGTGGAGGCAGCCGTCGTGTCGCCAGCAGCGCCAGTAGTCCGGTGCCGTCGAGCTCTCGGTAGCCCGTGAGCCCGTTGCGCCAGTCGCCCGTGGGTCCGTTGCTCCTGCCGTTCGTCGTAGCCGCAGAGCCTGGTACTCCTGTAGTCCGGAGCCGTCGTGCTCTCGGTAGCCACTGTGCCAGCCGGTACTCCTGTTGCCCGTGTGTCTGCAGCTTCAGTCGTCGCCTCCCATCTTCTCTCCCCTCACAGTCTCTCCTCCTCCTCACTTGCCCTCTATGATAGCCTCTAGCTTTACTTATAATTGTGAACTCCTGCTATGCTTGCTCATTGTGCTGATTACACCCCACTTTGGCTATGGGGGTGTGTCAGAATATGTTGTTTGTGTAGCCTGCAGTGGGGTACTCAATAGTGAGTACAGCCCCTTAGGGTTTGCTATTTGTATCCTGCTGCTTGCTAGTTCAACCATTCCCTCCTCATTTCTGTTCGTGCACACAACTCTCGCTCGTACTTGGCGCCTCGTTCCTAGTCCTACTGTGGCCTAGGCTACTAGCCTAGGCCCCACTCCTAGTATACTTGACACGAATAGCTCCGAATTCGGTGTAACCTAGCACGGTGCTTATAACTATAATAAAATATAGGAAAGCACCTAGCCTAGGAATCAAGCAATTCATGCATGCAGAAAATAATCCTAAGCTAGAAATAGCGTAATAAAATAATAGCAAGCAATAATAAGCATAAGCTTTCGTACTCTCACATAGAGAGACAGCCTGCCCTCACGCCTCACCAAGTGGTACAAGGCGGGGTCACACTCCGACCTCTCAAAGCCAAAATCCATCAGCGCCTCATCAAACTTGAGGTACCACTGCCTTGGAGATTGGCAGGGGGCTGCCTCATGTAAAGCTCCTCCTTCAAGACCTCATGAAGATAGGCAGTGGTGACATCCATGTAATGGATGTGAAACCCCGAGGATGCTGCCATCCCAAGGGATCCTCTCATGGTAATGGCTTACCCAACGGGGTATATACCTCGTCATAGTGAACACCTCGTGTTTGAGTGTTCCCCATGGCCACCAACCTGGACTTAGGCCGCTCAATACTTTCATCAGCCATGTGCTTATACTTCCACACCCACTGACACCTCAAGACCTCCATTCCAGGTGGCACACAAGCTGGATCAACCAGCTCAAAGGACTCGTTCACCCTATGAGACTCAAGCTCCTCACGCATGGACTCGACCCACTCAGGACGGGACAAGGCCTCCTTGACCGACTTAGGCTCATGCACCTGACCCATGAGACAGAAATTTAGCCCAAGCTCACCCCCCTCAGCATCCACAAGCATGCATTCCTCCAAATCATGCACCTCATTATCATGCATGCAAGCATTATGTGCACTTGGTGTGAACCTTTCCGGTGGCCGGGAGATGTGTGTGGTGCGGCGCAGAGGTAGTGCCTCCCCCTGCTCCAAACTTTGCAGCTTCTCCTTCCAAGTCACTCTCTTCATGGGGGACTGTGGTGACTTGGTTAGCTGTTGCTGCTGCTGCTGCTCTTGAGGCTGCTGCGGTTCATGGGCTGGTTTGTTAGGGTCAGGGGTGGAACCAGCAGTTAGGGAATCCTCATGGTGAGGTGTGGCTACCTTGTGTTCCTCCTGCTGCTCCTCTACCTCCTCTTCAGGATCCTTCCATGTCCCCTCAAAAATGGAAGAGGTGTAGGGATCCTGGAGGGAGCTCCCAACTGTACTAGCACCATGCTCCTTCCACCCCTTGTAGCTCAGCCCCTCATGGAAAACCACATCCCGGCTTTCCACCACCCGCTGATCCGCCACACTCCACAACATCCAAGCTTTGCTCCTCTCCGACACCCCAAGGAAAATGCCCCATTGTGCCTTGGGATCCAGCTTCCTCCGTTGCTGGTCGGGCACTTTGTACTGCGCCATGCACCCCCAGACTCGTGCCATTGACACACTAGTCACCTTCTGGTCCACATGAAGTATGGGCTCTTGCCCCCTAGCCCCTTGCTGCCCATCCGGTTCTTAACCCAGTTGGCATATTGCACTGCTGCCCCCCACCAAGTATGGTCCAGCTGTGCATGAGCAAGCATCCCTCGGGCAAGGTCAATGAGGGTCCGGTTAAGCCGCTCTGCTGCCCCATTTTGCTGCGGCGTGTAGGCAACTGAAAGCTGGTGGGTGATGCCCTTGTCTTCAAGGAAAGACTCCAGATCCTTCCCCATGTACTCCCCACCCCGATCAGACCTAAGTATTTTCACCTTGGCCCCGGCTTCCCTCTCTGCATAGTGTATCCAACGCTTGAACACCTTAGCCACTTCATCATTGGTTTTCACCAAGGTGACCCAACTGAGGCGGCTGTAGTCATCCAGAAAGGTGATGAAATACCTGCTGCCCTTCTTTCTGTCTGGAGTTGCATGGGGCCACACACATCCGTGTGCACCAACTCATGAGGTGCAGTGGCCCGAGACGTGGAGGTTGGAAAGGAGGTCCTGGGCAGCTTCTTGGTAGTGCAATCAGGGCACTTGCTTGGCTGCCCACCACCCTCCTTGATCTCCACACCCTTCAGCTCCCCCTTCTTCACAGATGTCCTTCCAACAGGTGCTACACGCAGCTTCCTCGGCTTCAACACCATGTGCCTTATCCACCTGAGGCACACAAACTGGAACAAGGTATAGACCCTTCTCTAACTTGGCCTCCATCACCACAGCTCCACCCTTGCAAACCGTGCCACCTTCCATGGTGAAGGTGCATATGTATTCTTGCTTCGCAAGCTGAGAGCATGAGAGAAGGTTGGCTGCCAATTCAGGAACATGAAGCACACCCTTCACATTCAGCACCTCCCCCTCCTTCCCCTTGACGGTAATGGTGCCGATGCCGATTGCTTGCAGTGTATCTCCGCTCCCCACAATCACATTTCTGGAGTTAGGTGGGAGGGAGTGATAGGTGGTGAAGAGGTCGCGCCGAGGTACCATTCCACAGGTTGCTCCAGAGTCTAGAATGAGCTGATTGGGGTCAGCCAACGTACGACCAGCAAGCGCCGTCTCTATCTCCAAGGATAAGAAGGAGAAGTCATCATCCGATGAGTCCTCCTTTCCCTTCTTATCCTCGTTTGCCGCCGCTACTGTCGCTTTCTCTTTGCTGCCATTCTTTTTCCATGCTCCATTCTTCAATCTCCTTTCTACCCACTCAGGCCTAGTGACAGGTGGAGCCTCTCCTGGGTACCCTTGAGGCTTCCACCCATCTTGTCCGCTCCAACACTCCTTCCAAGAGTGCTTCCGGTTGCATCCAGGGACGAGGCACTTGTCGAGCTCCTTCTTCCTCCCCCCACCTCCTTGCCGGTCTGGTATTTCTTGGAGGCAGCCCTATCACCTGCCCCCATTCCCCCTTCAACTCCTCTACCAGCATCCCGCTTGCGAGCCTCATCAGAGACCAACACCTCCCATATCCAGGCCTTGGTCCATTTCGGTTGATCAAGGTGAAGGTATTGCAGTGGGTCCTCATTCGCCTCTTCGTCCAGCCCCTCGGTTGCGATGTAGATGATTTCCATCTCATCTACAGTGTAGTTCAACTCCTCCAAGGCTCTCACATACGCATCGACCCTCTGAATATACTGCACCATGGTCTCCCCATCGCCATAGCTGCGCTCCATGGTGTAGAACCGCTTCCTCCAGGTGAGTATATTTGTACCTCTTTTTGCAAATGTCGATCTTGAACTCTCTTCCATGCTTGGGCAGCTGCACCTTGCTTCCCCTTTAGATCAATCAGCATCTTTCGGAGCTCTAATTGGCCTTCCAAGGCCCAACACAGGTACTGGAACGCTTGCTTGTCCTTGCGGTCCCATGCTTCCTGTGCCTTGATAAGCTCCTCCGCACTAAGCCGTTGCCTTCCGGTTCGCGGTGCTGCTGATCCACCTCCACTTCCCTCAGTTATGGATGAGCTAGAGGCTCCCCCAGCTCCTTATCCCACTTGGCTAGAAGCACCAGTAGATTCCTTTCCTTCATCAGCTCCAGGTCTTCGCTCTGATCCCTCCAAAACACCCTCTTGGTCTTTAATCCCTAGCCAAAGCGTAAACGGGAACCGCCATAGCAAGAATTCCGAGCTGGTGAACCTCGGAGGGCCATCTAATTTTTGGGCCATAACCAACCCTTTATCTGTAGGTTCTTAGGCCAATTCGAAATATGATGAAAAGGAGGGATTGTCACAGGCCTAACCAGCTCTGATACCACTGATGGAAAGCGCGCGAATCTGGAGAGCGTAACAAGAGATTAAGTCCGCCGACTTCGGCGAAACATTGCGTGCAGCTCACGTAACCTAAAACTATGAGCACGTACGCGTTAGAAATGTCTTAATCTCTACTTTCCAGAATGGTAAAGCACGCCTTCAACCAAGATCTAGGCCGATCGCTATCGCGATTTATGTGCGACGGGGTATCCTAGCAGAATTACTTGGCAGCCTTGGATTTGATATAGGAATGGCTTAAGCAAGAGTTCAGATCTGAAAAGTGACGAGTTGGTTAAACCCTATTAACCCAACTCTCGCCCCACAACAATCCCCAACAACCCAAAGTGCCAAATTAGCAACACCAAAGGTGTTGTTATGGATAGCGAAGGTTTGTTGGTGCTTGTTGGGTGCAAGTTCAATTCCAGCCCGCAACAAGTCTGATTACCACATTTTGCCCAAACCCTTAGCCCACAACCAGCTAGAGCAAAAAATCCATAACCACCTACACAATCCCTCGCCCCCTCCTTCGCTACTGCTGCTGCTACTGCTGTTGACTTCCTTGGTGCTGAGTCTGTTGGTGCTGCTTCTGCTCCTTGTAGGAGGTGCCGCAACGGCAAGGGCAAGGGAGCCAAAGGGTAGCGGAGGTGGCACCAGGGGGGGTGGTGGTGGAGGCGGTGGAGGAGGAGGAGGAGGAGGAGGAGGAGGGAGTGGTGGCGGGAGTGCTGGCGGGAGTGGTAGCGTCGGTAGCGGCGGTGGAGGCGGTGGCGGCGGAGGGGGTGGCGGCGGCGGTGACGGCAGCGGTGGCGGCGGCGGTGGCGGTCGGGGAGGCGGTGGCGGCGGCGGTGGCGGTCGGGGTGGAGGCGCTGGTGCTGGCCAGAAACAGCAGCAGCAGCAGCAGCGTTCCCGTACGTCCCAGCAGCTTCGTGAGTGGCTTGCTCAGCGTGGGACGTCTCGGTGTAGTGGTCGCTACCCGTATGTCATTCGCACAGGTGACCGCAAGGGTCAGACATGCGGGAAGTTTCACACCCAGCACCGCTGCTTCTCCCGCCTTGACGACGCCTGGCGTGAGGAGATGGGCGAGGAGGTTAAGCGCCCTCGCTGGTATGGCTGGTGTAGACATCTTTGCTCTTGACTATGATGCTATTATTGCTACTATGTATGCATTGGAGGTTAGTGTTGACGGCGACTGATACTTGTGTGTGCCGCCTGACCCACGCATAGAGGCTGCAGCCCTAGGTGCCAGGGAGTCTGCTGTCAGAATGTTATTATCTAGCCTGTAGTGGGGTGCTCTATAGCGGGTACAACCCAGTTAGGGTTTGCTATATGTATCCCAACTGCAGCTAGTGAAACCCCCTCCTTTGCTCATTTCTCTCTTGCCTAGCTAGGTAAACCCTAGCTATGGCTCCTCATCATCCTCTCGATCTTCACATGGTATCAGAGCGGTTACGCTCCTGGCCTGTGGGCCCGCCTGCTTCCGCTGCCTTCCTGTGTGTCGCGCGTCCCGTGGCGCGCGATGTTCGTTTTTTTCTTCCCGCCGCGCGCTCGGGGCGCGCGGCGGTTTTCTGCCCGCCGTGGCCCCGAGGCGCGCGGCGGTTTCCTCCCTCGAGCGTCACCCCGAAGACCCGCGCTTCCCCCCCTCCCGTCGACCGCCCCGTCGCCCGTCGAAGCGCCCCCCGTCGCCCGTCGAAGCGCCCCCCGTCGCCCGTCACGGAGCCCGCGGACCCGCGCGTCGCCCCCCGTCGCCCGACGCGGCCCGCGCGACCTGTGCCAGGCCCGCGCGTGGCTCGTACAGCCCGCGCGCGGCCCGTACGGGCTGCGCCAGGCCCGCGCGCGGCCCGTACAGCCTGCGCGCGGCCCGTACGGCCTGCGCCAGGCCCGCGCGCGGCCCGTACGGGCTGCGCCAGGCCCGCGCGCGGACTGGGCAGCCTGCCCCAGCGCCGTCCCCCGCGCTCCTGCCCCGTGCCACCCGTTTTAGGGTTTGGGGGTGGCGAGTGTGGGGGTGGCGGTTATGGGGGTGCAAGAGTGTGCGCCGTCCCCTGCTCCTCCTCCTCCTCCGTCTCCCACTGCTGCAGCTGCCGCTGAGGGGGGTGGGTGTGTGGGGAGCCGATGGAGTAGTGCTAGGGGGGTGACGTGGGAGTGGAGTTAGGGGTTCAGCAGGGGGTGTGTGTCAAGGGTGTGGGTCAGTTGGAGGAGGTTGTGTGGAGGTAGCTGTCGTGTCGCCTGCAGCGCCTGTAGTCCGTCGCCCTTGCTTCGGTAGCCAGTGAGCCTGTTGCACCAGTCGCCAGTGGGTCCGTTGCTCCTGCCGCTCGTCTTAGCCGCGGAGCCAGTCACTCCAGTAGTCCGTCGCCCTTGCTTCGGTAGCCACTGAGTCAGCCGCTCCTGTGCCCGTGCCTCTGCAGCTTCAGTCGTTGCCTCCCATCTTCTCTCCTTCCACAGTTCCTCCTCCTCCTCACTTGCCCGCTGTGATTACCTCTAGCTTTGCTTATTATTGTGAACTCCTGCTATGCTTGCTCATTGTGCTGATTACACCCCACTTTGGCTATGGGGGTGTGTCAGAATGTTATTATCTAGCCTGTAGTGGGGTGCTCTATAGCGGGTACAACCCAGTTAGGGTTTGCTATATGTATCCCAACTGCAGCTAGTGAAACCCCTCCTTTGCTCATTTCTCTCTTGCCTAGCTAGGTAAACCCTAGCTATGGCTCCTCATCATCCTCTCGATCTTCACATCTGCTCTCTCAGGTACTGCGCCTGCTGAGGCCTTGCACACTTTCACACTTGACTCAGGTGCTTCCCGCTGTTTCTTTCGTGACAGTACTGCACTCACACCACTCCCTGCACCTGTTGCAGTCTCTCTGGCTGACCCCTCAGGGGGCCCAGTTCTTGCACGGTCCACCACTGTGCTTCCCGGCCGTTCCGTCTGGCTCACTGTCAGGCCTCCACCTCCCCTCGTTCTCTACGAACTTGGTGAGCACTGCTGTCCTCCAGGATGTGGGGGTTGACACCTTCACCCCTGGTCGGCAGCGTGTGGCTGTCTGTACGAGCTCCCAGACCGGCCGCCACCTGGCCACGTTTACCCGTCGGCCAGGGTCGAGACTTTACACACTGACGACTGCGCCTCCTCAGGTAGCTGCTACTGGTCAGGTGTCTGCGTCAGGTCAGGTAGCCTCCCCTTGTGAGTGTCATTTTTCTCCGCACAAGACTCTTCTCTGGCACCACCGTCTGGGTCACCCTCCTTGCCACGTCTACGTAGCATGCACCGTCGCCTCTTTGTGTCTAGTATTCCCAGGTCTCTCCCTCCCCTCCCTGGCTCGCCTACACCGTCCTGCCTTCCTTGTGTCGAGGGGCGGCACCGCCCCGCTTCTCACTCCTCCTCGTTTCCCCCGACAGAGGCTCCTTTGCAGACCCTCCACTTGGACGTGTGGGGCCCAGCCCGCGTTCGTGGACAGGGCGGCGAGCGGTACTTTCTGTTGGTTGTCGACGACTACGCGCGTGACACTACGGTCTTCCCCTTGTGCACCAAGGGTGAGGTCCCTACTGTTCTGATCCCTTGGATCCGCGCAGTTCGTCTCCAGCTCCGCCGCAGGTTCATGACGAACCTGCATGTCCTGCGTTTGCACTCTGACAGAGGTGGTGAGTTTTCCTCCGACCTCTTGAGGGCCTTCTGTCAGGGGGAGGGCATCCTCCAGTCGTTCACGCTTCCGGGCTCACCGCAGCAAAATGGGGTTTCTGAGCACCGCATTGGCTTGGTTTCTGATCCATGCAGCGGCTCCCCATTTTCTGTGGCCGTTTGCGGTCCGGTACGCCGCGCAGCAGCTCAACCTCTGGCCCCGTGTCTCCTTGACGGAGACCTCGCCGACACTGCGTTGGACGGGAGAGGTTGGCGATGCGTCGGTGTTCCGGGTCTGGGGTGCTCGTGCCCTTGTCCGCGATACGTCTGCGGACAAGCTCTCCTCCCGCACCATTCCCTGTATCTTCCTCGGCTCCCCCCTTGACGTGCCTGGCTGGAAATTTAACCACCCCACCTCGCGCAGTGTCCCGTCCTCTCAGTACGTCACCTTTGACGAGTCAGTTCCGTTCTACCATCTCTTCCCCTACCGCACTGCCCCTGTGCCTCCCCCGCCGCTTTTCCTTGCACCAGGTCCCCCTCCGGTAGACCCCCTTCCCCCTCAGAGCCCTGCTCCTTCAGGTGTGTCTCAGGTAGACCCACTCCCCTTGGCTGAGCCTGTAGAGGTCACTGGCGACTGAGGTGCTGCTGTTGGTGGTGCTGCTCGGGGTACTGCGTCCGGAGGTGCTGAGCCCGTGCGTGAGGTGCTGGGGGGTGCGGAGCCCGGGGGTGCTGAGCCAGAGGGTGCTGGGTCGGGGGGTGCTGAGTCTGCTGGCGTTCCTCCAGGTATCGCCTCACTACGAGGGCCTCTCTCACCACAGCAGCTACGAGAGTGGCTCGCATGGCGTGCCCGCCTGGGGAGTCGTGCTCCTGGAGCTGGAGGTTCTGGTGCTGGAGGTACTGCAGCTCGAGGTACTGCAGCTCGAGGTGCTGCGGTCGGAGCTGCTCGCCATGGAGGCACTGGGAGTGCTAGTGTTACTGGTTCTGGAGGTGCTCGTACTGGAGGTAGTGGAGCTGCCAGGACTACTGGTACTGCTGCTGGAGGCACTGGAGCTGGAGGCCCTGGAGCTGGTGTTGTCGAACCTGGAGTTGGAGACCCTGGGGCTGGAGGTGCTGGTTCTGGGGGTGCTGCTGCTGGAGGCACTGGAGCTGGAGGCCTTAGAGCTAGTGCTGTCGAACCTGGAGTTGGAGACCCTGGGGCTGGAGGTGCTGGTTCTGGGGGTGCTGCTGCTGGAGGCACTGGAGCTGGAGGCCCTGGAGCTGGTGCTGTCGACCCTGGAGTTGGAGACCCTGGGGCTGGAGGTGCCGGTTCTGGGGGTGCTGCTGCTGGAGGCACTGGAGCTGGAGGCCCTGGAGCTGGAGGCCTTGTGGCCCTTTGCTTGTTCTCAGAGTGTGTGGTGACGTTGTGATCCACCCTGAGCTTGCTTTGCTTTTCTTGACTGGTCTTGTGACCCCTTGTTCTCCCCCACTTTGCCTATGGGGGTGTGTCAAACTATATATGTGTTAGTTCTGTGTAGGCTATAGTGGGGTAGCCAATATGGGGTAGAATCTCTTTAGGGTTTCTGTTTGTACCCAACTCTCTCATAGTTCATTAAATTTAGCTTCTCATTTCTGGCAGTCGTTTGTGTCTGTTTTGGGGTCTGGGGGTTGTTTGTGTCTGTTTTGGCGTCGGTGGATCAGCATTATTCGCCTCTTTTGTACGATTTTCCATTTTTTCTGTTACAAGTTTGCATATGCGTGCATTTTTTCAACGTTTTGTTATTTGTGCGGATTAATTGTCCAATTCTTCCATTCCCCGTACTTATTGATGATGATGGGATTATTGGGCGCATTTGTTTCCATTTTTATTAGAACTTTGTGAGCAGTGTTTTTTTTTTTTTTTTTTTTTTTTTTTTTGCGATTTCTTGGAAAAATTAACGGTTCACGTCAGTCAACCGAAAAGTGATAACAAATGTATAAGGTTGCTACGCAACCCCAAAACTTGCGAGATTTTTCATACCCCCAAAAATATGGTGATTGGTAAGGGCGTGTCGAGCTCGTACGTTTTCCGTTCATTTTGTGCGGTTGACCGCTTTCCGTCACGGTGAACAGAGGTGAAAATCTAAAATCGCTTTGCACCTTTTGATATTGTTCTGCACCACGGTAAATGAACTGTATATGAACCGAAAATGTTATGAGTTGTAAAAGAGAGTGCGCAGGTAAACAAATAACGAGCTGTGACTGAAATCAACTGAGAATACAATGAATGCACAGACTAATGTAGGGCTAGCCTAGCTAGGAGGAAACCTCGGACGAGCGAGGTTGGGTGCAGGTTTGGCGATGGGAATGCCGAAGGCGACGCGAGGAGCCTCGGCAGCGTGGAAATCTCATGAACGTGCGAACTCCGAAAATCGGGTTGTACGCGCAGCAGTCAACCCCGATAAGGAATTCGAGAAAATTCCTTACACCACCCCCCCCCCCCCCCTTAAGAAAGGCGGTCAATATCCGAAACACGCCGGCGCGCCAAATAATCACCAACAAGTGGCGAGGCGTCGAGCGAGGCGGATGGCACCCACGTGTCGTCCTCACTGGTGCGATCAGTCCAGC